ACACATACATATATAATTGATAACCACTTTTCTGAAAGTTGTCACATTAATTATATTTACAGTAGTTCTACATACAGACTGCTGACCCTCTGTCCATCTTTACTTCTGAGAGATTCTGCCTCTCTTTTCTCTGCTCTTTTCAGACCCGGTCCTCTTGACCTGTTGCCAGTTAACCTTTTTTGTAGCAAAATGCTCCTGCAGTTGTTTCCTATTTGTACCACTTACGTTTTACAATCTTTTATTGCTCCTGTCTGGACCTTTTAGGCATGTATTGCAGCCATATTTTTTAAAAAGAAATACTAGCTTAGTTTCAACATTTTATATGTTTACTATGTTTCATAGTAAATAAAAAGTGGCTTTTTGAAAATAGCTAAATATTGCATTTTCTTTGTATTTTACACAATTTCTTTTTTTTATTATTTTAGAAGTGGGGTTTTCCTAACTCTTGATTGATTTTAGCATTCTGGTAATGTTTAGACTTGTGATTCTTCGTTGTGGTTTGACTTCAGCACTGAGAGGTCTTTGTGTCTTTGCTCGGTGTAACAGAGACACTCTGTCTGAAAGAGACAAGCAGGGTTTGAGAAAATGAACCTTAGTTCTTTCAGCCTTTTTGCCCGTGGTATTGATCCCCTCTGTGTGTGAGTGGAAATGTTTCTGCGTGTCTCTTTCCTTCCTCTGACAGACCTGTTTCTTCCAGTGTTCTGTATATCATGGCACTTCTTCTATAATCAGCCCGAGAGGTAGTGGAGGCGGACCTTTGGCCTTGATCTGCTGTGTAATTGGACATTGGATTTGACACTCTGCCGAGTAGAACATTAGAGCGGGCCTAATTAGGTGCGAGAGCTATTAAATGAAGATTGGCCTGCGTTGTTAGAAAATACCACACAGATTGGAAATGTCAAGATGACATCAGGCTGTAGTCTGCAAGCCCACTGAACAAAATCTATCATTTCCTGGTGAAGTTTCAAAACTTGCTTGATAAACTGCCCACCACTTGCCTGTTGTAAGTCA